GGAGTGTACAGATCTAAGTCAATTATTCTTAGCAAGCCAGCCATAGTCCACTAAGTTTCAGGCTCATTTCTGGCTGCAAGGCCTAAGTTGAACTCCTTGACCTCCTTCCAGCATTGAACTCTGCAAGATTCTACTGCAAGTATCAGCTGTCCTTTCCACAAATTGAGTATGGCTCCAATGGGAGGTGCTGATTCCACCAATTTACCAATCCCGGTGGGCCAGTGTACCTCTATTACAGAGCTTTTCTTTACTTTCCCAGTGGCCTTCAGCTTTCATCAAGGAGCCTCACAGAGACCCTCTCTCCGTTGTTCCCTTCTGCTCTATGTTTTAGAGTTCACAACCATGGCCTTTAAGGCCCTGGGCTGCTCTGCAGTGTGGATTTAGATACCACCCTGGCCATCAGAGCCATCCCGGGGGACAGCCCTCCACAGGACTTTGCTAGGGTGACAGGGGTAGTTCTGGCCACTTCATGCCATGGGGTGAAACATTGCCAATAGCCATGATGGGGGGGCAGGGCTCAGCCCTGCATGAAACGATGTTGGATGCCAGGACCCCTCCTGGGATTTTTGTATCTCCTTCCCATTTGAAAATGATCTATCTTCCTACTTCCTATTACTTGTATTTTATTTTTTTCTTCAATTATATTTTCGATATAGGAAAAATCATGTGATATCTAAGCTATGTGTCTGATTTATTGCACTTGATATTGTGCTCTCAAGGTACATCCATTTATGTACAAATTACTCAACTTTATCCTTCTTTATAGAAGAGTAGTATTCCTTTGTGTACAACTACCCCATTTTCTTTATATGTTGATAGGCATACAGAGTTTGTCCAAGGCTTGGCTATTATGAATTATGCTGCTATAAACTTTGATAAAAAGGCCAAAAGAATACACTGGAGGAAAGATAGCACTTTTATTTCAAGATGGGGTCTCGCTGTGTCATCTAGGCTGGTCTTGAACTCACTATTGAGCCTAGAGTGTCTTGGAATTCATGGTGATCCAACTGCCTCAGCCTTTTGACTGGAGTTTCAGGTATGTATCACCATGGAGGGCAAGATAACATCTTTAATAAATGGTGCTAGGATTGCTTTCATGGGAAAATTATTCAGCTAAGTATTTCAACACTTTTGTTGCTGATGTATACTCTCCACTAATCATACATCACATATATGCACATAAACGCAACTTTGGTATGCCATGCTGTGCATCTCCCTCTGCGTCTGTCTTCATGTTCATGCTAATACTTTTACAGGTTATTTTTGGTCGATTTGTGTGTATTTCCTTTTATAATTTAACAGTTGCATATCTTTAGGTAGATGTTTATGGTTTTAACTTATTTTAACCCCAATGGCGTTATATGTTCCTGAATTATATGTTGATATGTTCCTGAGTTGCATGTACCTAGGGGCAATACTCATAATATGAAATCACCCAATGCGTACCATTTAATCATAATATGTTCTGCTCCTCGTGCTGGACTCCAGCCTTTAGAGGTCTCTGATAAATCACATGTGAACCTTGCAGCTGATATATCATAGAGAAGCACAAAGAGTATTGGGGAGAGAGGGGTCAGGGTGGTCATAGGGTTACTCAGAGGCCTCAGGATACAGCTGTTAATGAAACAGTGTGGGACAATTGAATATTTCAGCCACCACCTGCAAAAGTCATACCATGGTAAAGCACACTGTCAATATGGATGTACCATAAGCCATCCAGCCATGCCTTCATGATGGCACTTGGGTCCTCTTTGCACTCTTAGGACACAGCTGTGTACCTGATTTTGAAAACTGTCCTCTAGGACCCACATGATTTTGAGAAACCAGACAGCTCATACCTGGGCCACTTTCTGGTTGCCAAGGACAACTTCTGGAAGTGGAAAGCCTTTATCCCATTTTCCAAGGGTAAAGCAGTGGCCTTCTCACCCTGTGTCACTTTGTTCACATCACACACTGGGTGAAAAGATGAAGACTCTAAAAGAAATAGAAAGCCACACAACTACAGAGGCAAAGACAGTGTGAGGGGAAGGAAAGAGGGAGACATTACGTGGGAGAAAGATGGACTCTAAATTCATAATGGAGATAAAAGCAAGAGAATTCTGAAGGACAC